GTTTTATGAAAGCCATTCAAACTTTTAGAAATCTCTAAGAATGATGAAGAAGAAACACTTCCCCACCCAGGGAGGTGGAGGTGGCTGGAGGTGCAAGGTTTTTGGACACCTGCTCAGGGCGGGCTCAAGATGCATCAGTGAAAACGCCTCCATTGTTTTCAATCACGCATTTTGCAGTGATAGTAGTGATTTGTGTTAAGACGTGGCACCCGGAAGATGCATCTCAAAGTTAAAGTTCTGTTTCTCTTTAGCGTAACTGCTGAAGAGGAAGAAAATACCACTCTTCTGTTCTGAGTCTGCTGATGCAGATATCTGTGACAGAGCTTTTGCTTGAACGTGGCACAGGATATGGAGAAAGATGGGGAAGATTATTTTTGTTACATCCAACATGAAGAGGAAAAGAAAGAGACGCGCTGTCCATGAAGCTGAAGGTCAGCAAGACAAGGTCTGAATCATCCACCCCTCCACCTTTGTTAGTGAGCATCCCTCTGTGTCCACTCGTGTCTGACTCAAAATTTCTGAATTTCTCATTTATGTTTCATGGTTTCCTAAAATTTTGTCATTAGAAACAACAACTAACCTGAGCTGCTGTCAGGCGCTTTGGATCGGCAGCCTTGTGGAGTGGATGATGAAATCAGTGCATCATATAGACCCGGTGCTGTACAACATCCAGAAGTGATGAAGTCACATGGAGCTTCATCTTCTTTCTCTTCAGCTCAAAAGTGGCTCATTTCAGCATCTAAAAAACATCCAGGTGTGAAGTTTGAAGTACCAGCTTTACTTTGAATGGGATGTTTAGTGTGAAGCTTAGAAGCATTTTTTCAGAAATATTATCATAAGAAACATGTTCTAACAGGAAATTCACATCTTTTCATATTCTACTCATTCTGTTTCCAAATAAACTCGTTGGTTTCTCCAGTGTCGTCTTTGGTGCCTTCAGTCTACATACAGTCCTTCTCTTTATATTAATAAATGAGTTTAAAAGCCTAAAGTGTGTACTTGTAGCATTACAAAACTACATGTGTTTTCTGTAAAACACAAATAAACTATAACCTAACCCAAACTCCTGTACATCCCAAAGATGAAAATAAACGAAGCATCTTAGAGTCATAGTTCTTTACTTTTAGCACTCAGAGTGAAACATCTACAGCTGTAAGCTCCATAATAGTTGACCATCATTTTGTTACGGGGCAGAAACGTTTTTCTAATGTTTCCTTACAATATTTATTTTACAACATCAAGCTGTTATCATTTCAGACCACACGGGGGAGCCCTTTATATATTTTTTGGACTATAAGCAGTTTAGTCTAGCTGTGAACATGTGGGGAGAGAAAACATCATAATCCTTTATTTCTGTAGAGGTTTCTAGTCATCCAGGTCATCTTAGTCTATGGAAAGAAAATCTGGACTTCTTTAAGTTTCTTGAAGACGTTTCACCTCACATCTGAGAAGCTTCTTCAATTCTAAGAGGAACTGGTGGAGAGTCCCAGATTTAAGCCCTATGGAAGTGTCCCTAAGAGGGTCATGGACCCCCTATTGATCCTCTGCCTAAGCCAAGGTGTAAAAACGGCTGAGAGTCACAATCAGCCAAGGTTTAGGATGAACCCTTTGTAAGACTGGCATCCCCTGGGTATAGACGATGGTGTGTAGGGCGGTCAATGACTTTGTCCTTTTCAAGTTTTTGTAGGCAACTGATACGTTATTTGTGCTTGCTTTTGGGGTCTCGTTTTAAGGATTCATAGGTATTGAAGTCACTGCAGAGTGTAGTAATGTTTGTGTAATAAGCTGCTGTGTTTAGAACAACAGTGCACCTCCTCTTATCGGCTGGACAGCCTTCTTGTCTTGTATTGTGAGGTTGGACAGAGGAACTTTTTGCACTGTAGAGGGTGGCTAAAACTTTCCTCCTTATTTGCTCTGATCCTGTTTGTGTTAATTTATTAATCATTATGGTTGTTTCTGTGTCTGTTTTGAAGTCCACTATGGGTAACTGTTGAGGAGAAATGGCAAAATTGAGTTCTGTGGCTAGGACTTCAGTGAGATTCCTGTCTGAAAAGTTCTTCACTCATTTTTCTTGACTTTCTTTGGTTGTGAAGTCCTCCTGTTCTTGTCAATATTGTGTATGTGTTGACTGGGAAGTATAAGTTTTCATTAGCAAAGTAGGGAATTTCTAGAGTTGTCTTTCTTTTCCTTTAGAGTGTTGGGCCCCGCTGAGCCCTGGCCACAAACTTAAATAATGAAAACTCTAAAATAGGGTAGGGTAGAAGTTTGAGTTCTAACTAATCTTGTGCATCTATAGTGAAATGGACCTGTCTTATCCTTTCACTTGGAAGTTGATTTTGTGCACTCCATAGAATCGATAAAACTCTGCTCTGAGTTTGTTTCAAACTCTCTGAAACAAGTCTGCTCTGTCTGCATCTTAGATTGAAACTGACATGCTGAAGAGTTGTCCCTGTGGAGCTGTACATCAGAAAACTCCACTTAGTCACATGAATATTCTGGATGAGTTTCAAAAGATTTACTCCTTTTTTTCCTCTCATTTCTAACAGAACCAAAGGTCCAACCACCAATTCTGTTCTGCTTATCCGTGGCTTGATAACAGAGGCAGTAGCCGAGGCAAAGACGCCCAGACCTTTTTCTTTCCACTGAGGCATTCCTAGGCCAGCTCAGAGATGTCATTTCTCCAGCACGTCCTGGAGTCAGGTCTTGGGAGTGAGCAATACAGAGAGCACCTGGTGTGGGCTGGCCTGTAATGACAAGATACGTGACAGGATATGTTACACTATTTATACGTGATTCAGCAAGGTCTACAGAATATTGCTGGTCACATGTTCCCAGAGACTTAATACTTTAGCCATTAGCTGCACTAGGTTTTAACCAGCAGCATTTCTTTAACTTCCATTTGTCGAATGATGCATTTGGCAAAGTGCACCACTATTTGGAAAGCTCGTCTTTCCTCCTTGGTGCTGTTCCAATACTAGGTGCAGATATTTCCCATCAGGATGCTCTGGATGGTGCATGAGTAGAAGTTCTTGAGCAACCTCTGAGGTAGGTGGAAGTCTGAGTTGTCTGAGGAAGAAGAAACGCTAGCAGGCTCTTTTCACCAGCGTGTTAGTGTGACGTACTAGTTTCTTTCTAACAATTCTCTCCCTTTGTAAAGGTACATCTTGAACAAACAGCATAAACTGATCTCTGAAGAACTATTCATGGTAAGGGACACTAGAAGGATCACTAGCAAACATGCATCAACTGCATCAAAACATCTTCTGTATAACTTCCCTTTTCTGTTTACTTTCATAAAACCATTGCTGAAGAGTGAACACTTAATTTCTCTTGTTATACACACACCACCCTATCAGATGCTGTTACACAAGACTGCAATTTATTGCGTACTGGAGATGATCCTCCAGCTATTGGGGAACTAGACCCAGAGGGGGTAAGCTTGCCCTCAAAGATATTCAGCTGCTCAGATGAGCCAAGGCTACTGGAAGTGTTTCTCTCACTACATTTTCTTTAACATCTCTTTTAAATGCATAATTTCTTGTTCAGACATTTAAAAAACATTTTTAAAAAAAATGCTTATGACGGTCCAACAAAACTCACTTGGATGGAGAGCACACCTTATAATGGACTTGAGGACGTAGAAACACTGCGACCAGTAAAATCTTAAAATGTGTTTAAATATCAGCTTTTATTGCTGATATTGTTAATAATAATAATAATAATAATAATAATAATAATAATCTACACCTCTTCATAGTCAGGATTTTTTTTGAACCCCTATATCTGAAAGTATTTCTATTTTTGTTTATGACAAACAAACACACGATGGAGCATAAGAGTTCACTTAATTACATCAGTTGGATTCTAATAGACTAAATCACTGGGATTTTTACTTCCCAGAATAATTAGACAGTGAAAAAACCTTTTCATGTATTTTCAAACGGGAATGTGAAAGTGTCCGTCTTTAAACTTTAGCTCCGTCTCTATGCTGGGGGTCTGTGTCTGTCTTGGGCAGTGGCGGTTTTTGATACGGGCGACAAGGGCGTGGTGGGGGGCGGCATCACGGGCATCGGCAAAAAAATTAAAAATAAAAAAATTGCTCGTACTCATGCTGCCCCGACATCAGCCAGCGCATATTGGGAATGGCATAGGCACCGATCGGTTTTCTATCGCCCATTTGCTGGGAGTAAGGGCGCCCTCCGTTTGCGAGGTGCGCTGCTGCTTGCGGCACAGGGAGGAGAGGGCGGAGCGGCGGGATTCTGGGGGCTTACCATAATAACCAACTCACAAAATAAAAACAAACCAACAAACACGAAAACACCAGACATCATGATACAGACTTATAATTTGCACCGATGTTTTTTTCGAAATTCTATACGCGAAAAGTGAGCGCGAGAGCCCTCGGTGCGCCTGCTCGCTGCTGAAGTCAAAGTAAACTTTATTGTCATCTCCGCTACATACAGTCCAGTATATAGAGAGACGAGACGACGGGCTCCAGTGTACTGTAGCAGCTTGGCATAGTAACACAAAATTAGAAGAGTCTCTAACGGGTGCAGCCATTTATTTCCTCACCACACACGGCTCATTCTCTGGACGTTGAGCACCGTGAAAACTATAAAATAAGAAAAAATTGATACCCGTACAGTACTTTTTGAACTATAACAATGAGCAATAACAACAATGAGCTTAAGTTAATTCAGGCAAGTTCAAACAAGTAATTCTGAGATATACAGTCACAGATTAAATAAAACAAAAGGGGTTACTTCAAACAGCATCAAGGGATTACACAGTTCAGTTAAATAAAATATAACAACAGATCATCTCTCATCACATACCTCAGTCCGCTTGCCAAGGGTGCAAAACTCCGGTAAACACTTAAACACTTCGGCCCGTTTCTCATGGGGTGCTGCTAGCTTGCATGACACACATGTCTAGCTAAAAAATAGCACATGGATGTAAGTAACGTAAATACAGAATAAAAAGGTTTTCAGATAGCTCACAATACAAACGCAGCAACATACCTTACATTAGAAACACACTTATCATACTTATCAAAGTATTATCGTAACTTACATGGACTTTGTACAACTTATTCCTGCCGCGACAGACTGCTCTATACGCGTTACGGGGCATGCCTCTGAGCACATCTGTCCTTAGTGCGACTGCGCATACAGTTCCGACAACCCCCGCAAGGATGACTTATGGTACAGATCAGCGGTTCATTACACTCCCACCAATCATGCTATGATTTACAAACTAGCTAATCATACATGATTTGAACAACAACAAAATGAGACCACTTCAACCAATATACAGGTGTACAAACATCATAGAGCAGGTGCCACCTGGACTGTTACATTGTTTATGTCAGTATGTCAGTTCCTCTCAGATAATAACATGGTTGTTATTATTCTCTTTCAACAAGAACCACCAGTTTTTGAATAGGCCGCTCGATGATGGGGGGCTTGAAAGCACGGTCCTGTTTCTTGGTCTGACTTTGGACTCCTACTTGAACTTTGACCCGACGGACTAAACCATCATCGCCTTCGATAGTTTCAACGATACGCCCCAGTTGCCACTGACACCTTGGTAACATATCTTCCTTGATGATAACAATGTCATTCACTTTTAGATTACGGCGGGTTTTGTGCCACTTCTGTCTTGTGGAGACATTCATGAGGTATTCTCTTTTCCACCTACCCCAGAACTGCTCAGTTAAGTATTGTACTCTACGCCACCTCTTCGCTGCATACAAGTCTTCTCTCACAAATTTCCCAGGTGGTGGTAGAGCAACTTTGGACTTCATCAGTATAAGATGGTTCGGAGTAAGAGGTTCAGGTGCCTTTGGGTCACAGATACTGCCCACAGTCAAGGGGCGGCTATTTACAATAGCCATGGCCTCATAAAACAAAGTTCTAAGAGAGGCATCGTCTAGTCTTCCTGCACACTGAGCAGTAGTGGCATTTAGCACATTACGAATGGTTCTAATTTGGCGTTCCCAGATGCCACCAGCATGACTTGCAGAAGGAGCATTGAAAACAAACTCACACTGTTTGTCTGCCAGGAAAGCCTCCAGTGCCTGCATGTCACATTGTTTGAGAGCCTCTCTGAACTCATTTCTGGCTCCTACAAAGTTTGTGCCTTGGTCACAGCGGAGTTGGCAAACAGCTCCTCTGAGGCTGATGAAGCATCTAAGGGCATTGATGAATGCATCTGTTGATAGGTCTTCTAGCATCTCGATATGAACAGCACGTGAAGACAGGCATGTAAAGATAAGCCCATACCTTTTGTACTCCTTACGGCCCCGCTTGATGGAAAATGGACCAAAGCAATCCATACCAGAGTACGAGAAAGGAGCGGAGGCTTCAGTCCTTTCTTTCGGGAGCTCTGCCATGCGTTGCTCCTCGGTGGGGCGCCGAAGTTTTCGACATTGCACACATTTATGTATTAACTTGGCAACTGCTTTGCTTCCCCCAAGCACCCAAAACCCATTTGCTCTGAGTTCTGCTAGGGTTTGACTGCGACCCTGATGACAGATGGTGGCATGGTAATGAGACAGTATTAGTCTTGTAATGTGACTTTCCTTTGGAAGGATAACCGGGTGTTTTAGTTCTCGACTGAGCGTTGCCTTTGTCAGTCTTCCACCGACACGAAGAAGTCCTTCATCTAAGATGGGATCAAGACAACTTAGGGGGCTAGAGCATGGAAGAGAGTTGCCCTTCTGAAGTGTCTTTATGTCTTGCAAAAAGGCTTGTCGCTGAACCAGACTGATTACTAGTTCACAAGCTTTTCTCCTTTCCTCTACCGTCACAATGCTGCTGACACGATCTGACTTCATGCCTAGTCTCTTAATTCTTGCAACTACTCTGATGAGCGTTGTCCAGCTGGAAAAGCGGCTTAGACGGTTCAGAATGTCATTTTGCTCATTGGCATGGGTGGCAAAGGTTTTCACCGATTTAACTTCAGGGTCACAGACTAGCAAATCTGGTGAAAAATGTAGTGTTGGGTGTATCTCAGGTTTCCATAGAAATTTAGGACCCGATAACCAGTTCGTTGACAGAATGTCCCCTGCACATAGACCTCTCGAAGCGTGGTCAGCTGGGTTTTCTGCCGTATCCACATAGTGCCACTGAGCAGGGTCTGTGGTTTCTCGGATTAGCTGAACACGATTTGCGACAAACACATGGAATCGCCGTGCCTCATTGCTGATGTAGGCCAATACAACTTGGGAATCAGTCCAAAAGAATTCCTCGTCAATCTGCATGCCGAGCTCTGTTTTTAACATGACGCTTAGCCTTGCGGAGATTACTGCAGCCGAAAGCTCCAGCCTTGGGATGCTCATGAGCTTTGTTGGTGCAACTCTTGCTTTGGCTAACACAAGGCTACAGTGTACTTCATCCTTTTCATTCTTGTATCTGAGGTAGGAACATGCACCATAACCTATGTTACTGGCATCTGAAAAGTGATGCAGTTCCACCCTCACTATGTTGCCAAAGTCTGGAGGATGGTAGCATCTGGGTATCGCTATTTCCTTTAGCCTGTGTAGATCCCTTTTCCATTGCTCCCACCGTGCATGTAGGCTATCGGGAAGCTGATCATCCCAACCTATGCCCATGCGACACAGCTCCTGGAGAATACATTTACCACTCAGGATAAAGGGAGCTACAAGACCAAGAGGGTCGTAGAGGGAGGAGACAGCGGACAGGATACCACGACGAGTTGAGGGTTGGTCCCTTTTGTCAATGTTGAAGCTGAAGGTGTCACTTTCTATTGACCACTGAATGCCAAGTACGTGACCCTCCGCTGTTGAATCCAGGCTAAGGTTGAGAGGTCCAGTGGTTACTGCCCTTTCTGAAGGCGCAACACCACATAGCGCCTCCACCTTGTTCGAGTTAAATTTGTGCAAGTGTAAACCTCCAGTCTTACACAGCTGCTGTGCATTGATAATCAGGTCTGTAGCTTCTGTGACTGATGGGACGCTAGTCAGTCCATCATCAACGTAAAAGTTCTTTTCAATGAAAGCAGCAGCCGAAGGATAATCGGCTTCGCATTGCTGTGCAAGATATTTAAGGCCGAAATTGGCACACCCTGGAGAAGAACCAGCACCGAAAAGGTGCACCGCCATTCTATACTCTTGGGGTTCTGTTTCCAGCTGACCGCCCTTCCACCATAGGAACCTCAGGTAGTTCCGCATGTTGGGTGGAACATAGAACTGATGGAACATTTTTTCAATGTCGCAGGTGATGGCTACTGCTTCCCTCCTAAAGCGGCAGAGAACTCCTACTAGAGAGTTTATCAGATCAGGGCCAGTCAATAAGGTGTCATTCAGAGAGATGCCCAGAAACTTGGCTGAACAGTCGAAGACCACCCTAAGTTTATCTGGTTTCCTAGGATGGTACACCCCATGATGTGGGATGTACCAAATTGTCTCTCCCTCATGTGCTGGGGGGGCTGGTTCTGCAACACCTTTGCTGATGGTTTCCTCCATGAATGCTGTGTAATGGTCATAGTACTGCCTATTGGACCTTAACTTCCTCTTGAGGTGTTGCAAACGAGCTTCAGCCAGTCGCTTGTTGTTTGGCAGCATGGGTGGAGAGCTGCCCTTGAAAGGAAGTGGCATCTCATAGTGTCCATCCTTCCTTTTTGTGATTGTGCTGCCGAGGAGTTTTACAAAATGAACATCATCTTGAGAAACATATTTATCTTGATAGTTTCTTTCGCTGAAATCCATTTCTAGGACCTTTAACACATCATTGACCGGAGGCAATGGCATTTCCTTTACTGCCACTCTGTGTACAAAGCTTTGATGTTCCTTTCTATCAAGATATGGATTTGCTGATCCTATGATGCTCCAGCCAAGCACGGTTCTTTGAGCAAATGGATGGTTTTCTGACCCTACAATGACTTCTAGAGGGGCCAGTGCTGATGGGCAACCATAGCCAATCAGCAATCCCACTTCACAGTCTTGAAGTGGCTGCAGCTTGTTTGCCAGTTGCCTCAGATGTGGCCACTGAAGTGCGGTGTCCTTTGTAGGAATGTGAGACTTATCGACTGGGATGAAATCCCTTGTGTATGCCTGGCGTAGCTGAACATGCGACTCACTATGGAGCCCACGAACTTGCAATCCACAAGCCACTTTGCTAGCTATGACTGTGTCTACTGCTGTCATTGTACTGAGCCTTAATTGCACTGGCTGAGTCTTCACATTTAGTGCAGAGACCAGGGCCCGTATCCCTAAAGAATCTTTGTGCAAAAAGTGGCTCCTAGCGGCCAAATTCTAAGAAAATTCTCAGAGTCATGACGTTTTCTTAGAATTTCCCCTAAAAGTGACACGACAATCCCAGTTAATATAAAAGCTATTCCTCAAGATTCCTAGCGCTTAAAAGGGCTCCTAAGGCGAGATCTGCTAAGAGCAGGGAAGAGGACTTTTAGTGGCTTAGGAGTTCCCCTAAGCAGCTGCACAAAATGGCCAACAGAAGAGGCAGGAGAGATGTCCTGCAAACACTGGATGACAGGGAATTATTGAGATGCTACAGAGTGGATCGTGCAGGAATCATGTTTGTGGTGGATCTCCTTAGAGATGCAATTACTTCACCAACTCGACGCCACAACGCTATTACACCGGAGACGAAAGTAATCACAACCCCGAGGTATTTGGCAACCGGGAAAATGCAACAATGCAGCAGTGATGACTTGGGTCTGCAATCACAGACATTGCTAAAAGCTGAGCCGTGTTACCCTCGTTAAGACCACACTGGACTTGTAACGTTGTGATTTCTACTTCATTAAGGACAGCCTCTTGAGATAGGCCATCTTGTTTTCAACGGGGTCCATATGGGAGTGAAAGTACAAAATATGCCAGCTAGGATATTAATATGAGCAAATAAGACACGAATCATTATTTGAACAGGGTGTAATGAGTTTAAGTTTTCACATATTTTAGATTCTAATGTTAGGCTATAACCCCTACAGCTTACTATTCATTTTCCAGATATTTTCTTGAATGTGAAATATTATTTACAATTACAGTCAGCATAAGATTAGAGTATATAATATGTTTATTGATTTGAGGGTACATCCTTTGCTCATTATCACCAAAAGCTCATTTCCATCAAACTTGTAGGATCAACCAATCACGGCTTTTGAAATGATGACTCATACCTAGCAACGGGGTCAACCACACCTCCTCACTAAGATAGGATTTTCCATCCATTCCTTGCTCAGAGTTCACTGAAAATGTTCTGGAATCACTTCTAAGCTAAAACTCCTGGCAAGGAATTTTTAGGTTAAGTTAGGAGCTCTCTGAGAGGATTCTCAGAATCTTTAGGGATACGGGCCCAGATCTCCCAAGATGAAAGTTGAATCGCTCTGTGTGTCGAGCAGAGCATATGTGAGAATCTCACTGTGGGGGTCTTCTGCCAATGACACAAAAACTGGAACAATGCTAGACGTAGCTGAGGAGTATCTTGTCAATGTGTGTGACATGACATTGCGGACTTCCTTTGTCTCATTTCCTGCAGATGGTGAATCACTGTTTAACATTTCACTGGCTCCCTCAATTCTCTCTATGTGCAAGCAAGTTGGATGATTTCGACCACATATAGTGCATGTGTGCCTTCTTTTGCATTCTTTACTAGTGTGACCCTTTCTTAAACAGCCGAAGCAAAGACGGTTTTCACGAATGAAAGCTCTCTTTTCATCAGGAAGCCTTGTGGCAAAGGTTGGGCACTTGGCGACACCGTGTGTTTCATCGTTGCAGACGAAGCATGGTGGTCTTGGCTTTGAAATTAAGGTCCCTGGTTTACCTGCAGAGTGCTTAGCTTGAGCATTGGTGCTGAGTGCCTTGGTTCTCTTAGGAAGCCTTTCATCTGTTACTTTAGTGGTTAATAAGAAGGGAGAAGCAATGGGGTTGCAGGCTATTCTAGCTTCCCTTTGTAGAAATTTGGTGAAATGAGCAAATGGTGGATACTCTTGACATCTGTCTAGTTCATCCACAACAACGCGACCCCATCTGCGTACCAGCCATTCGGGTAGTTTTTTGAGAAGTTTATGATTTTCTTCACAATCATTTAGAATTGCCAGCCCTTTAACATGAGGGATGGCCTCGGCACAACTTTGAAGGAAATCTGAAAACTCTCTGAGGGCTACTGGGTCATTGGGAGCTATTTTTGGCCATTTCATCAGTTTATCCCTGAAAGCCTTTTGGACGACAAATGAACTTCCATACCTCTCCTGAAGAATCTCCCAGGCACCCTGATATGCATCTTCTGAGTTTCGATAGAAGAATCCTTCGACCGCCTTCCGTGCCTCACCTGCAAGATAACTTTTCAAGTACAACATTTTTTCGCCTGCGGGGAGGGGTTTGTGGCCAATCAATGCCATAAAGGATATCTTCCAGTCTATAAACTTTAAAGGGTTACCAGTGAACACTGTGGGTTCAGGTGCAGGCAGACGGTTGGAGACGAACAAGCTTGCAAGCTCCTGTGTTAAGCTGACCTCCTGTTGCTTTTGCAAAATCTCAGGTGGTGCACACTGAGGTCGAAATGATTCAGCCTGTGGATTCAATGGATTCTGAGATTCAATGATTTGGCTATCAAGTTGTGATTTGTCATCTGCTTCATACTTAAGGCTTTCCAATCCATCGTAGTTGTTGTAAGCTCTCACTCTGGCTGCTGCTACTTTTACCTCATTTTCTGCCTGTAGCTGTTGCAGTTTAGTTCTCTCTTCCTCTAGCTTTGCTGTCATTTCTGCAATCATTTGTGCTTCCTTGATTTTCCACTCATGCTCTAAGCTACTCAACTTGGCTTGCTGTTCATGTATTCGTTGCATTGCCTTCGCCTGTTCTAGTTTAGCTGCAAGGTCAGCTTCGGCATCCACACGTTTGCTAGAAGTCGTAGATGTGGCTCCAGAGTATGAATCTGAGCCCTTTGAATGCTCTGAAATAACTGTTTCTGTTTCAGTTTTCCCAAAAACAGATCCATACTCCTCCTTACTTAATATCATCCTTACACGCTCCTTCTCGAGCCTGTCATTAAAAGTCTTATCTATATCTTCTAGTCGTTTACTAATGAGATCACAAATTTCTGTTGTTAGGGCAACACACGCATCCATTTTCTTGACAACATCTGGAGTAGAAGTATGATTACGTCGGATAGGCTCATACAGTTCATGCATTAATGCTTCTTTAGCCTTAATGTCCGTTTGTGTTCTAACAAGGTCTTCGTTTGAGCAGAAACCTTTCAGCTTTGTTCTAACTCCTCTTGCTAACTCCTTCCAGTACTCATATGCCTTGCTAAATGACCTTTCATTTTTCTTGGCTTCCTGTTCATGCATCTCCTGCCCCTTTTCTGTTAGTCTTTGCTCTCTGGAGCTGGACCTGGCCTCTTGTGCCTCTGTAGATTTGTCTATTTCTTCAACAGGGGACAACATTATTATTAATTTTATTTTTGGCTTGTTGCACCTGCCCTTTTAAGTGTATATATCTGAACTCAAATGGGTTGAGTGGTGGTTTCAAACTTATTAACACTCAACTTAGATATTTACACCTTTAACCTCACAGACTGGCAACAAAACCCAAATAATACTGATGATGCCCTCAAATCAGACAATTTGCCACTTAAGTTTTTACAGAAGTACAACTGATAGCATAAAGCCCAGATTCAGTCTTAGACATTCTGATGTAAGAAATGTGGGATATTCAGCATCACAACTTTACATGCTACTGTGTTAAATACAGAAGAGGTCTTTCTTTCTTGCATTACTTTAGACTGCCATGTTGAAGATCATTTGCTCACACAGCTTACAAGATGAAGGTGTGCATGACATTGTATTTATAATGTCCTTATTTTGAGTCCTTTACTGATCCAGCAGTCTCTGGATGATGCGATACACTCCTTTACTCACAGTTCGACGAAAGAATAAGATGAGTGTAGATGGCTGCAAGGCAGCGATGAGTTTTCACTGTAGCAGCCCTTGGCATCAAGAACGACAGAAGAGTCTCTAACGGGTGCAGCCATTTATTTCCTCACCACACACGGCTCATTCTCTGGACGTTGAGCACCGTGAAAACTATAAAATAAGAAAAAATTGATACCCGTACAGTACTTTTTGAACTATAACAATGAGCAATAACAACAATGAGCTTAAGTTAATTCAGGCAAGTTCAAACAAGTAATTCTGAGATATACAGTCACAGATTAAATAAAACAAAAGGGGTTACTTCAAACAGCATCAAGGGATTACACAGTTCAGTTAAATAAAATATAACAACAGATCATCTCTCATCACATACCTCAGTCCGCTTGCCAAGGGTGCAAAACTCCGGTAAACACTTAAACACTTCGGCCCGTTTCTCATGGGGTGCTGCTAGCTTGCATGACACACATGTCTAGCTAAAAAATAGCACATGGATGTAAGTAACGTAAATACAGAATAAAAAGGTTTTCAGATAGCTCACAATACAAACGCAGCAACATACCTTACATTAGAAACACACTTATCATACTTATCAAAGTATTATCGTAACTTACATGGACTTTGTACAACTTATTCCTGCCGCGACAGACTGCTCTATACGCGTTACGGGGCATGCCTCTGAGCACATCTGTCCTTAGTGCGACTGCGCATACAGTTCCGACAACCCCCGCAAGGATGACTTATGGTACAGATCAGCGGTTCATTACAACAAACAATAAATATAAGAAGAGTAAGAAAATAAATATACACTTTAGGACTCGGGGTAAAGGGATCAATAACAATTTAAAATTTATAATTTACAGTTTGATGATTTAAAGTCTCACACACAACCTGTCGAAAGGGGAGGGAGACCTGCTGCTTCCAAATAGAGCACATTTCAGCTTATATACATGAGAGTGGAGTCTTATGGTGAATGTGATGGATTATCATCAATTTGCCAAATAAAAATACACTTTAATCAGACTGAGATCAGATCACTGAGATTTTCAAGTATTTTGAAAGAGTGTTTTTGTTTTGTTGTAGAATGTAAAAGTGCATATTTTTAAAGCACATTTGGTCAACATCTGTTGTTTAAATGTCCTAAATAAATAAAATAGACAATCCAAAAAACTAACTATATTATATTCAATAAGTGTCATTGGCAATGGTCAATAACACTTTAAGTTATGCTTAAGAACTGGGATGAGTCATGACTAAAACATGACTTTCTCCACTAATTGGCTAACTAAATGAGCTGGGACAAAACTCTGTGTTCCCACACAAATCAGTGTAGTCAGTGATTTCATTTACTCACTGTGGCTGCTCTGTGCCACTGAGTCACTAAGTAAACTAAATATAGCAGAGCAGAGTGTGCCTCCATGGGAGGAGCGGTGTTTGCACAATCACATCTACTTTCTGACGACTTCGAGCAAGGGAGTGAACTTAGAAGAGAAAACAACAAAGTACAGTGTAGATCTGTTTTCACTAATTAAAATAAATAGTTAGTGGTTTGAGCAAAACGATTCCATAAAAATGTGACACCAAAGCTGTTACACCCCAGCCCTGGGAAAACTGGCGTACAACATAAGACAAATAAAAATAAGGAGAAATGCCCCCACACTCCCTGCTCTCAAGGAAGACGAACCAACAAAAAACAGCTACCATGGATTTCACAACAGCCAGTCAATTTATCAAGTCCCAAAAGGTAGCAGGCATCAGGGTGAGCATGGCCAAAACAACAAACAAAAACTCGAGAAATGAAATGCAGCTGGCTTACCTTCACAGAAAACCCCAAACGAAAATTATAGGCATCTTACCTGCCTCCCTAACCAAAAACTGGAGAAAAGGTTCCCAAAGAAAAATGGCTTCTCACCCCTACAGCTACCGAGTAAGGAAAAAGTATCAACAACTATTTCCATCTATATACAACAAACCATTTACAACACAGGGGGAGATCACAACCATGACAAACTGAAACACAGGGCTTAAATACATAGAGGGAGCAATCAGGGAATGGACAACAGGAGGGAAACACAGCTGGGGCAAATCAGAACTGACGAGACAAGGAAGCGTAAACCGAACACACTGAGATAAGACAGACCTTCAAAGTAAAACAGGAAACACATAACAGTCACGCCTAAAACAAAACACTGACAACATCGAATCATAACATTTCCCCCCACCCAAAAATCAAACATTTAACCCCAAATGAAATGTTTGATTCATGACCTAGAGAGGACATCAACCATGACGTTGTCTAAGCCCTTTTTGTACCGGCTGTCAATGTTGAAGTCCTGGAGGAGTAAGGACCAGCGCATAAGGTAAAACAGGAAACACATAACAGTCACGCCTAAAACAAAACACTGACAACATTGAATCGTAACAAAGCCTTTTCATCTTAGTTAGCTGGCAGAGAGTTCAATGGTACGCAACAGATGCACTACTGACTTGCTCTCACAGTCTTTGAACTTTGTTGTGAGAAACTGTGTTTCTTGGCTTCCTGATTCAGGTTTATGCAGCACAGATGCTTCCTGTGATTTCGCTGAATGAACACTTTAGTCATGGTTTGTAGTGTTTGGCTTTCCATCTCCAATGTGACTCGTTACGGTGTGATATTTTTGGTTGCCAAGCTGTGTATGGAGGTGATTTTATAGCTTTGAAATTAGCTGGGAATGTATTGTGTTTTCTTAAGAGTCGAAAACCAAGGGGAAAGTTTAGAATGTGGTGAAGCAGTTAGGCAGGGAGGTTTCTAGTCAGGGTCAAGGTCCCAATGTACCCTCTGCAGTGGTTGCATCACTCAATTTCATGCTATCATCAAGCACATGCAGTCATTTATACCCACCATTAAGGCACAAGAAGCCGCTACAGTAATTTCCTAAATGACAGCTGTCACCACTCAGACAACCAAACCAAATGCTGATACGGAGGAGAAGTCAAAATCACAAGTCAAGACTTGTCAAGACAAGTTGCAAAAATCAAGAGGTGCATGACTGGCTCACATGACACAAGTGACGTGGCTAGCATAGTGAAGGGCCTGGGACAGGACCTTTCTGTGAGGAGTGTCACGGTTCTCTCCATTTCTCCCCATTTCTGCATTGGTACTGTCTGGCTTCTCCGGCTTCCTCCCAAACTCTAAAGACATGCAGTTAGTGGGGTTAGGTTAACTGGTGATTGTAAATTGCCCATAGGTGTGAATGGTGGTCTGAGGTACCCTAAAGATGATCCAAAAGTCACACAGACGCGATGGGAGTTTAGCAACAATTATATTTACTCGAGACGTTCGTGAGTGTGTTCTGCTCTATTTATATAAATAAATTGCAGCTTAGATGTGTTTTTTCAAAGGTGATCTAAGCCTGAGAGCTGTTTCCACACCATGTGCCCGGAGAGGGAAGAAGGCCTGAAGTTTAGGAGCCATATGGGAATTGATACTTTTCTCTGTCTTACTTACTCCTGTCTAGTTCCACATGTATGTGGACCTGGGCCGCTGGCTGATCTTACTCTTGGTCAGTCTGAGGGGGTTTTTTCTTCTTTTGACTTTCTAGAGTAAAAAGGCTGTGAAGGTTAACTGTTTCAGGCAAAAGTGTTGGTGAGGAAATGGCTTCATTCAATAGGAGCATGCTGTCAGTAACTCAGTATTTCAGGCTTGTTGTTATGTATCAAGTCTAAGAAAAGGTGCTGAGGGTGTCATTTGGGGTGTTGTGGAATTTTCTAAATAAAGTCTGCAACACAAAAAAGGCTGTGGTCAAGCTACTTCTTACTACGTGCAGGACAACACACATACACATCAAAACATAACAGGTTCACAGCAATGAGCGTTCTAACCATGGGGCGTCGCAGCGCCCCTTTCATACCATCGCACAAACTCTGTGTATCTTTTAGTTGCAACAGTCTTTTGTCCAACCCGGGCTATTGCTGAACAAAGAAGACTCCCATTATCTTTTCCCAGGCCAGCACCTGGCACTGACCCTGAGCTTCATCTGTCTGAGCAAAACAGTTAGCAGATAGCATAGTGAACATCATTAGGCAGCTAAGCAGTTTTCACAAGGTCATGCTGACACATACTTACTTCATCTTACGCATGCAAAGGTTATACAGAAATCATACAGTGAAATTCTAACCACCTAAATCTAAATGTGAGGGTTAACTTTAATTTTCCCATTACAGGGTGTTGAGATTTTAAATGGACTAACAATGAGGTGGAGTTGTTTCTGCGAGTAACACAAAAGTACAAAGTTGCAAAAGCGAGTGAGAGTTAAAGAATTTGAGGAAAGTTATCTGGAGCATGTACAGACTGATGTTAATAGAGCTTTCAAAATTCAGAGGAAACAAAACAACTGCTGTATAATAGCTTTGGTTAATTGGTCACATGACTAGGGAGTGTCTGCCTCCATGCACGCTGTGCTCACTCTACCAGTTCTACCTCTCTCTCTCTCTCTCTCTCTCTCTCTATGCTGTGTGCGTGTTAGTATGACCTACTGACCTATGACCTACTTAAATGAATAAAAAGTATAATGCTTTGCTAACGCTTATGCGGCGAAATCCCTAAAGTTATAATAATGTATTCCCACAATGGGCATTTACAGGAGATTGTGGTGGAGCAGGATCCCAGCACAGACGAAGGAAACAAGTCTGCTGATGGTGTTCGCTCTGTATCACCTGACCAAGCCTTTTGCTTAAACTTAACACGGGCTAAGAAGCAAGATGGACGAGATTGTTTTTGTTACATCCAGCATTTGTGAGGCTAAAGATCAACAAGACAAGGTCTAGTTCATCCACTCCACTGCCCGTGTCGGTAAGCATCCCTCCCTTTTGCATATGGCATTGAAATGTGAACACTACCCACCGTTCACCACAGCGAACATTTGTCGTAATTCCCATACACTTGGCACACACACCAGCACAGCACTTCAGGAGCCAACTCACTCTGATATGCGCGTGATATGATTGTTTATGTGTAAGGGGAGCATTTACAGTTAAACATATTCTGGAAATCCAATTCAGGTTCAACACTTAGGTCACATAGAAACATCTCATTGTATCTTTATGTTGAGCTTTGAACTGTATCATCTTTGGATTTCTGTTCAAAAAAATGCAGGACTGTAACTGAAACTTCCACTCACTAACATGCTTGCTCCAAAGCAGAGACATCTATCAGTGAGTCGTGCCAAACAGCAGATAGATGTCAGAGTTATGAATCCCATGTAAAGTGCAGATTAGTAACGTGAAAGATACCCTTCCACCTTACTGTGAGACCCTCCGGATTATAGAATGCCGCTCGCAGTAACACAGGCTTGGAGCAGAGGCTCCAGCCCTCCATTCCAGCCCTAACCATCACCTTAACCTTAAGATATTGTTTTCTAAAGTGATTCATGATCAGAATGTGAAACACATTTACATGTATAGCCCTGCATGGACTGGCACCAGCCCACATCTTCGATCTCCTACAGCCTTATGTCCCAAGCAGGTCCCTGAGGTCATCTGATCAGGGCTTACTTGCTATAAAACAGACTAAGATGGAAACTAAGGATATTAGAGTTTTTGCCACTGTGGCCCCGAGACTGTGGAACTCTCTCCCCCAAATCTTAAGAAATGTGGACTCAGTAGTTGTTTTTAAAAAACAACTCAAAACTCACCTTTTTAAAACTGCTTTTGATTAAATTTTGCCTCTTTTCTGTTTTACCTTTTTATTATTTGTTATCTTATGTCTAGCACGTTGTGACTCTGTCTAGAAAGGTGTAATATAAATCAAGTTTTATTATTTATTTATTTTAACAAGTTCAAAGTGTTTGAAGCAGTGCAAAGGAAAGACGTGGTCTGAGTACACAGTCTATGCTTAGTGGCCGCCTGAGTGATGACGATTACTCGGACGATAGCTCAGATTAGTGCGGTGTGGGAGGATAGTGTTTATTGACATTCCGAAGGTCCAAGGGAAGAAACAAATTTGAAATGAGCTAATTTTGTGCATAAAATTGTCAAATTTTCCAGCTTAAACATTTCCTATGTTATTTATGTTCTGTCGTGAATAAAATGTTGGCTCTTGTGATTTGAAAGTCTTTTCGTTTTTATTTTGTTCACATTTAAAGAACTTTTGTAGGTTTCGGACGTGTTGGCTAAAACAACGCTAACATATTAGAAATGAAGCTAACTAATACTTCAACTATAAGTTTAGTTTCCACCGGTGTTGCTTCTCTTCTTTGAAACCCTGACTTCACTTTTCACGGAGCATTTGACATTTCAATCCTGACGATTCTGATGGTTCAGATGGAAAATCAACATCTGTTCAATGTCTCCTTGCTATCTGGGATCCTAAAGTCATCAGATGGCTAAGAGCGCGTGCACCTGGACCAAACCAAAACAGGAAACAAAAAAAATGGGCGGGGTGGGGTCGGAGGAGGACTGGGTTTTAATCTTTGTTATCCAAAAGAAAAACGGATGCTAGCAAACAAACACGTTGTTTTTGAAGCAAACAATATTTTATGGTGATAAGTTCCTCCGCTGCTGGCACGTAATCTCTGCGCCTGTCTCTGCATAGTCCAATAAACAAACCGTGCTCCTTTCTCTGTTAACTATCCTACTCCAAGATGTCAGATTAGGCACCAGTTGTCGACCTTGAGAGAGAGACAGTGAGAGAAAAATAGAAACTCTGTAGAATCAATCTTTAGTCCATTAACACCACACCAGGATTTACAGCATGTTCCCGTAACAATAGAGCTAAATGTAAATGTTATGTTAAGAGACAGCGCATTTTAACACGTTATTGTGAGGTTGGTTTTTTATGAAAAAACCCCAGCGTGATACTAATTTTTCTCATCTCATACACAGTTACGAGGATTTTAAAAAGCTGTTGAATTTGAATTATTCTTCCCAGGAAGCCAGAAAGTAGATAATAGTAGAAAATAGTTTTATGCAATAAAACTATGATCATCGGGCTGGAAATATATTTCAGCTGAGCAACAAATGTTCTTGAAATTGTTGTAAAAATCACACAAACAACAGTTGTGTCGACCTTGTCTGCATTCTCACGTGTATCCATTCCACCCTTTCATCAAAGCCCTCGTTCTGTAAAATCAGAAATTCCAGAACTCTTAAAATGAAGCTTTAATGTAACTGAACTAGATGCTATGGGGAAGAAAAGTATCAGAACTTCTATTTTTAAAAAGTGCAGACAAGTCAAAACACCAAAACCTGACACAGGGATTATTGGCATGGCGTGTGATGTAGTAGGAGATGATAATTTGATGTTCACGGAGTTCTTCCTGCCTTTTCCTTCAAAAATGAGACTATCCACATCAGGCTGATAATCATCACTGCTCTGACTGCTTTTCCAACGTTGATGTTCAGTATATTCATGCAGTTGATTTTTTTTCACATCCCAGGATTGGATGACCAATCAGACGCCAGTAAAGATGAGCTAGTGTGTGGAGGAGGGTCACTCTCTTTAGGTTATATTAATCCATCGTTCCCCTGCTCCACTCAGAAGGACAGAGACTCAGGATGGCCCGGCCTCTGCAGCTCTTTGTCGTGGTCTCCTCCTTAATAGCGGCCTCTCTGTGTGATGTCTGTGTGGAAGCTGTTTTAGGAAGGCAGTTCACATTTCCAGAAAACTGCAGCAATGATGGAGGAGAACTGTTCCGGTGTGAGCCGCATGGGGAGGTGGAGGTGGCTGTTCTCCAGCAAGGTGTGTGGACACCTGCTCAAGGCTACGAAGACCGTATCAGTAACAATTCCTCCATTATCTTCTATCACGCATTTTACAATGATACCGGGGATTTTGTGTTAAGGTGTAGAGAAGGCGTGCAAATCAAAATGAAAGTTAAAGTTCTGCTTCCCTTTAACGTAACAGTCAAAGAGGGAGAAAAGGCCACCTTCCCGTGCTTTTATCAACGTAACTGCAGCAAGTCCGAGACTGTGCAGTGTGTGAAAAACGGGAAGCAGAATTTCACCACAGACGAAGGAAACACGTGTGCTGATGGCCGACTCTATGTGTCACCTAAACGAGACCTTTGCCCAAACGTAACACGGGCTAAGAAGCAAGACGGAGGAGATTATCTTTGTTACATCCAGTGTGAAGGGAAACGGTTCGCATCTGTTGTGAGGCTAAAGGTCAACGAGACATCCACTCCACCGCCTGCGTCGGTGAGCATCCCTCCCTTTTACACATGACATTGAAATGTGAACACCACAAACTCAAACTTGTGTCTGAGTTTAACTGAATATATGTTTCCTGTTCTCTGAAATCTTGTCATTAGAAACCACAACAAGCCTGAGCTGCTGTCAGCTTGACAGAGGAGCAGTGCTGTGCAACATCCACACACGATCCAGTCACACGGACCTCCCTGCTTCTCTTTAGCTCATCAGTGCCACCCGTTACACATATTTCTCATTTTTAGCGTCTAAAAACAACAAGTTAGAAGTGCCAGATTAGCTTGGAAACAATAAAGTTTTTCAGACTTATTATCATAAGAAATGTGTTCTAACAGGACAGTCATATCTCTTTATATTTTGTTCATTTCTTCCTTGATTTTTAGTTTATGATTAGTTTGCATGACTTTTACATTTTATCGATCTGCCTTTGTATTTCTACTCATCCTGTAACTCGTTGGTTTCTCCAGTGTCTTCTTTGGTGCCTTCAGTCTACATACAGTCCTTCTCTTTATATTAATAAATGAGTTTAAAAGCCTAAAGTGTGTACTTGTAGCATTACATAATTACATGTGTGTTTTCTGTAAAACACTATGTGTAACCAGACTTCATTATTATTATTTTTAGTTCCATCACAGTTGACCATCATTTCGGTACGAGGCAGAAATGTGTCCTTATATTTATGGAGGCAGGAATATTTTTCATTTCCCAATCGATGGTTTGGCATCATGTTCATTTATACAGAGAATCAAGAGCACAACTCAATTATTAGAACATTTCATTTATGCAGTAAAATCAGTTTATCTACAGGACTGAATGTAAATCACAACGGTTCAGCTGCGGAGCCGCATGCAGCTCTTTCATCCTTATACTGCGGCTCCGCGTGGCTTGGGAAAATAAATTATAAGTTTATTTTATTTGTGTTAGTTGTTTTTTAAAGTGTAGTTCTAAATTGGAAGATTATGTGATCTTGAAATACTAAGATAAAGTTATATTTTATTATTTTCGTCGTTCAAAATAAGTGTTACACTCGCGGAAAGCGGTATACCGGCCAAAACGCCATGTATTTTTCGAGACTTTCAACCCCAGGTAAGCCAAGTATGGAGAAATATAAGAGAACAAAAGTATCTGAAGAAAACGGATTCCCAGGCATCATTAAATTATCTTTAAAAGGTTAAATGATTCTACCAGTATGCCTAATTTGTGGAGAGAGACTGAGTAACAATAAAAAGTCAAATGTCGCAAGACATTTCCAAAATAAACACACAGCCTTCGCTGAAAAATATCCGGAGGGAGAAGAGGAAAAAAGTACTTTCAGAACTGATGCGGAAGGCTGATCTGAGAAAAATCAATTCAGTTGGATGAATTCTGCAAATTCAACTACATATGCAAGTTTTGTGGCCACAAAGGCACGGTAAGCCGTTCACGGACAGAGAATGTATGAAAGAATCACTCATTAAGATTTCAGAACACCTACCCTCGGACTTTGAAAGCAAGAGTGAAATTGTGCAGAAAATCTGAGAGATGCCTCTGTGCGAAGACTGTCAAAGATGGATATTTTCTGCCGGGGGCAGGGGGCATCTGCAAGGCTATGTGTGGTGAACACAAATGTGCTACCACATTTTGGTAAATTTTATTATTTTTAAGAAAAACATATGTCAGCAATTAAGACAATTATTATTTTACATTCATTACGTGTAGTCCATAACAATTGAGGAGAGTAAAAGTGAGAAATAATAAGCGGAAC